GAGGGTTGCCACCAGTTTAAAAAGTTAACTTCAAATTATATAATAAGTTTGATAAATTATTAAAATACGGGTATCAATCGAAAGGCGTTTGAAACAAATTTATTCCTGAACTGTATTTTGCGGGGTTGCCACATGTTTGAAAATTAATTAATTTAAATCATTAGTTAATTAAAATATGTATCGCAGTGTCCGGTGAAGGAGAGTTAACATTAATTAAGCTTGAAAATATTTTTGAACAGGGCTGCCACCTGTTTGAAAGGTCCTACTCAATTAACTAACTCAAAAAGTGTATGAAATATAAAAATACTTTAGTAAAACGTGTTAAGAAATCGTTAGTTTTAACATGTCGAATGTTTGAAGAGAGTTGCCACGTGCTTAAAATGTTAAATTGAAATTATCCAGTAAGTTGGATGAGTTATTATAGTATGGGCATAAATAGGTTTGAAAGGGATTTATTTCTGCCCTTTATTGAGGAGGGTTGCCATTTGTGCGAGCAATCAGATTCGAATTAGTTCATCAGTTTATTGAAATACATCTGTATCGCAATGTGAGACCTAAGAGATTTAGGTTTGAGAGTAATTTTGAAAAGGAATTAAAAAAACGAGAGGTCAGATCGAAGACAAATGGAGCCAAAATAAATATTATGTCGGCAAGTTAGGCGGCGTTAAAGGCCTTAGACTCCTTTAAAATGGTATCGGGCAGAAATACCTGAGTGCCCACAATGGCGTAACGCTGTGGTGGGCACCGGATGATGAAGGGTACATCTAAAGGATACATTGCAGTATTACTTAGGGACTGGGAAGAATCTCAGATTGCTGACTACTGGCGGAAGTCAAAGGGAATGAGACAATCAAAGAGATTCATAAGTCCCTGTAGGAAGAATGCCGAAAGACTTCTTGAAAATAGCCGGGAGAGGCTTAGAACTTTTACTGGCATACTGACAGGACACTGCAAGTTAAGGTACAATTTGAATAAAATAGGGCTTTCTCTGGAGACGGATTGCAGGTTTTGTGGGCTGGGCTTAGCACAATAGGTCTTCTCAGCTCGCAGCGCGGGTATTCCTGACGTAATAATAATAACAATATTACACATGCAGAGACATTTGTATAAACCTATACAGAAAAATGAATTGTTATACACAGTTAGTTGGTTTTTATTGTACTAGCTGCGTTTTAGTTTCACTAAATTTTTTGTTATCTACTTTTTTTAATAAACTTGACATTAAAATGATGCATTAAAAACCCAAAAAAATGTTGGTAGGTTTTGGTTGGATTTAATAGGAAATTTTGGTAGGTAAAAACAATTCCCGTGGCAACACTGGTAGCAAGCTTTATTGTCGAGCGCACTTTTCCAGCAGGGCATGTACATATGTATGTGCATATAATAACTTATCCATGGATGTGTTTGTATGTAAAAATTGTGCACAAGTTTGAGCAATATATGGAAGTGTGCACGGTTGCCACTTAGCTACAATTGTACCAAATATACGCCTTTTTTCTCCGTTTGGGCCTTTGGGCCTTTTTTGTAAGTATTGGGCTTTTTGAAGCAACGTTCATTTGAATAAGCAGCACTCACAGTTTCAAGCCTTATACAAAATTTAGGAAAATTCGACAAATATTCATCCAAATTTCAACTTTTTGATCTGAATCTATGGAATATTTTTGAGTATGCAATTTTGTAGCACATACTTTTTTAGTCTAATGAAGTGCAAGTTTCAACCGCCTTACGAATCGCGTTGATTTTTGAGAATTTTGGTTTGTAGGCTGCTTTTGTAGTGTTTTTTTTATATAACAAGTGCAATTTACAAAAACTGGCGTTGATTTTTTGAAATTTTGTTGCTTACGGTCTAACGCATTTTATTTCATAAGGAATTTATGCTTGTATGGAAAAAGTACAAAAATCTGTCACAAAAAAAATTCTCAAAAATCAACGGGCTTTTTAAGCGCTTGAACCTTGCCTTTATTAGACTAAGATAGTATGGGCTATAAAACTGCATACCCAAAAATGTTCTAAAGATTCAGATTAAAAATTGCAATTTTGATAAAAATTTGTCAAATTTTCCTAAATTTTGTATATAGTTTGAAAATGTTTATATGGTTTGGGTTAAAGCATGTACGGTAATTGTTTATAGAAAAATTACAAAAAAAAAAAATTGTTCGAAAAACATTACGAATATTAGAAAAAAATCAAAACGTGGTAACTTGTTTGAGTCACTGTATATATTTTCGTTGGACGGCAAAAATGGTGCTTTTTACTTGTATATTATGGTACACAAAATTTTGATGAAGTGGCAACCGTGGAAGTGTGTAAAAATGTATGAAGAACTTGATGAAAGCTGCCGGTAATGATGGTTTGCGTCTATGCTACTAGAAAACGTGTAAATTGAAGAAAATGTATGTATTAGCATTTATAGGGTTTAGCGGTTTGGATATGGCATATACATAATGTGACCAACCGTACTTCTTTCGGAAGTACAGTACTTCTGTTTGAGCCTTTGTACTTCGTACTTCGAAGTACAGTCAAATGTACTTCTTTGCAATGTTTTGTACTACCCAAGGCATATTAAACAGGTAGTATCAGTAGAGCAGCTGATTTAATTTTTTTTTCCAAATTATTCGGTCTCTAAAATGTTAAATATTTTTAATTACCTCTCACAAAATATATATATTGTCAAAATCTTTTTGCATGTGAAAGCTTTTCCCATACAAAACAAGCGATTAAAAAGCAACGTTTGGGATGTTCACCTAACTCCGCAGCACCGACGCTGATTACTGGGCCTTGCATATGATGGATCAATGCTTCGAGAAGCAAACAAAATTTACTAAGAAAGAAAGTCGTAGGTACAAATTTTTTTTAAATTGAATTTTTACTCAAAATCAGCACAGTTTTTGACACTTTAGATAAGACAAACAACAACAAAACATACATAAATGTTATTCTAAAGAAGAACAGATTGGATAGGTTCAGAAGGCGCAGCAGTTGAGCGCAACCGTTGCTAAAAAAATCAGTGATAGTAATGCGTCTTCTGAACGGCTTGATACATTATCTGTCAAATTCAAAACACACAACATGTCGTCTCAAATGATCAGAAAAATATTACGATCATCTAACACGCAACTGTTCAGTTGATCAGAAGTACAAAACAACGCGTTCAGAAGGTGCAATCGCAACAGTTACTGAGCTGTTGCGCCTTCTGAACGTGCCCATTGAGAACAAAACTTTCGGGAACGTTTCGAATGAGAACGAAATCAGGACGAAAGTATCGAGGAGGTTTTTAGGGAGGATGCAGTAAAAAAAAATTATGGGGAACGTTCTGCTAGAGAACAAAACGGGAACAAAATTCTGAGAACATAACGTTAAGAACGACAGGGGCATCTGCGTGATGGTTAATTCTAATCCAGAGAGAGGAAATCTGGATCATTTCAACTTCCAGATCGTTTACCATTAGGATGAACTGTCCATTTATGGAACACGTTTTCATTTGCTGTGCAATAAAAGTTCGTGTCTTAAGTCTTTCGTTGACTTAATTTACATAATTATTTTTAAGTTTTTTTTTATTAATTTTAATATTCAAACATTTCAAAATAATGCAGCGCATAGTTCACGGATTGTTTGTTCCCGTTCGTTCTCAGTCAGAATGTTCCTGAAACTTTAGTCCCCAAATTGTTATGCAAGAGAAAGGTCCTTAAACTTTTATTCCCGTTATGTGCTCTGCCAGAACGTTCCGCAGACTTTTATTCCATTTTGTTCTCTTAGAAATGTTCCCGAACGAATTGTTTGCATTTGGTTCGCTTTGGGAATGTTCCTCAGGGTTTTTGCTTATATACATAGTTCCCGTTGAATACGTTCTCGACAGTTTTGTTTTCACTTTTGTTCTTCGGAAAACACTCGTGTAGGTTTTGTTCTCATTTTGGTTTGGGGTTTTAAGTGTTCTTGGGAGGAGCAGAACTACGAGAAAGACATTTAGTTTCGATCATACCTTCTCGGTCCCAGGTATTTTATGGCTTGAAGAAATATTTAACTTCTAACTATTCAATTCTGCTACACATAAACGCAGACTTCCCATTGAGTTGGGTTTTGTCGAAAATGGGAAGACCTTCAATTTTACGCCTCCTCCAAATAGAAAATGATTTTTGAGAAGCCTTTTCATGGCAGTTGTATAGTCGAAAGTTTGCCATGCCATCGAACCCAGGTGCCGCGCAGTGGCAGTACGCAATAATGAAAACTTCAATGTTTATGGTACACCCTGCATACTTAACTATTTTTCCAGCTACACAAATGATGAAAACAATGGTTAGCTGTAATAATTTCCTGAGTATTTGAGTGTGTATATTCTAGTATCGTGCATTTGATAATCAATTACAAATGGGTGCGAATTTTGATAAGTTCTGTAAGTATATTTTAAACTAGTTGGTTGCATAAGATTACATCTATTTTTTTTTTTATAAGTCTATTAAAATATGCACAAAATTTTACTACGTACGTACGTTTTCAAAGGAATGATAATGCATTTCGCTTGATATCTTGCTAATTTAATGATATTGTTATATTTTTTCGACTACCTTTTTTCAAAATTTTCGTTATCCATTATTTTTTATATATGTATGTATGTATTAAAATTTATATTAGAAAAATTGTTGCTAACATGCAATGTGGGTAATCGCTGCTTAGCTGCCGATGCGCTGCCATCTAGCCATTCCGCTTTTATTTGCAAAACGCTGTTATGCCACTCTACCCAGTCAGCTGCTGTTGGTGCTGGCATTCGCAACGACGACCCTTTTCAAAAATTATGCTAATGAGGTAGCTGCGGTTGATTCATAGTATTCGATATTTTGCAATGACAATAATTGCAAAATATTTTGTACACAATTTTTTATTTTTGTTGTTTATTTTTTCTACTTAATGCTAGTTGAAATACTTTTTTATGTACTTTTTTTTTAATTGGTATGAAAACAAAAATAAAAAAACTCAGTTTAAATTTTCATAGTAAAACTAAAATGTTTTCTTTTATTTGTGTGTGTTGTTTGCATTTTTAGACTAGGAACATTTAAAATAAAAACAATTAAAATTAAACACATAAATGAATGGCGTACAAATATGCGTGTATGCGTGTGTGTATGAAATTCGTCTACAAACAAAATAGTGGCGCGTTGGCTTTCTTATTACACATTTAACATTATTTCAATAAATACTTTTTTCTGTAAGTTTATCCAGCGTAAAAACTTAATTTACAAATTTTCTACGCGTTTACTGCCTCTTCTTCTTCTTCTTCCTCCTCTGCTTGCTTTCTCTGCCTCGTCTTCTTATTCCTATGCTTAGCCAATAATTAGCTCCCTTCACTCGAATGCTGCTTAAAAATTAATGCCCTTCTGCACTTCATCCATTATATTGGCCGACTTCTGCAATTGCTCCACTTCGGTGGGTGTGAGTATCTGCTTGACGAGCGAGGTAATGCCGTTGGCATTCAAGACGCAAGGCAAGGACAAGAACACATCCTTGTCAATACCGTGTTCACCCTATTCAACAGAAAAAAAAACGGACAAATTTAGTTGTATGAAATAAAAAATTCGCAACAATGCCAACCAACAACTCACCTGTACTGAAGTTGAGACAGCCACAATGTTGCTTGTATTGTTCAAGATGGCCGATGCTAGCGCAGCTGAGCTCAAGCCAATGGCCCATGAGGTGTAACCCTTCAACTTGATCACTTCATAGGCCGAATCGATGACCTTCTTGTGTACTTGTTGCCAATTTTCTGGATCTTCAGTTGTGCCAATGTTCGGATTCAACTCACGCAAGCGCACGCCAGCAATATTCACACCAGACCACACAGCCACTGAACTGTCACCATGCTCACCAATGATCCAGCCATGGCAAGATGTGGGCGCTACACCCAAACGCTGTGACATCAAGAAACGGAACCGTGACGAATCCAAATTGGTGCCACTGCCAATGACACGATTCTTTGGCAAACCGGATAATTTCCATGCGACATAGGTCATAATATCCACTGGATTGGAGACCATCAACAAAATGGTGTCGGGTGAGTGTTGCACCAACTTGGGAATGATGTGCTTGAGTATGTCGGTGTTGCGTTGCACCAACGACAAACGTGATTCGCCTTCCTTTTGGCGTACGCCAGCTGTCACAATGCATAGACGCGAGCCGGCAGTTGCTTCGTAATCGGTACTGGCGGTGATTTTGGGATTCTTAAGGAAATTGGAACCGTGTTGCAAGTCCATCATTTCACCTTGCAACTTATCCTTGCACACATCGACAAGGCAAATCTCGTTGGAAACATTCTGGGCAAGAATACTGAATGCACAGGCCATGCCAACTTGGCCAATACCGACAATGGATATTTTGCGTCCACTCGAGGGCAAGACTTCGGCCACTTGGCTCATCAGATTCTCTAAAACGGTGGACATATTTGCTGCAAATGGAAAAAGAGAAATAGTGGATCACATTAGTATTTGAGCTGTTAAGATATTTTAAAGTATGTAGCATATATGTATGTATGTGTGTCTATATCGACCGCTGCTAAGAGAAGAGACGTAACTGGAAATAATAAAAAATAGTTAAAAAAAATTATTAATCCCAGCAACGTATTTTCTCTTAGGATCCGACGATTTGTTGTACGTATAAATAATATATATATTTAAGTCGATGGAGAATCGTGTGGAAAGGCGTACCGTGGGCAGGATGAGAAGATGGTGCATTTTGGAAAGAAGTTCCATCATCTCTCGTCAAACTTGGTTTAGTTTCTGAAATGGAAGATATCACAACGCCGAAATCGATTTGGTTCCAAATTAAGCTTGACTAGAGGTGACGGAAATTCGTTCCTGGATGTAACTACATCTACATACATATAAGCGTTTTGCGCAACAAATGTGTAAATGGGCTATCCTATCCACCTCAGAACTAGTACTGTGTTTGTGAGATTCCCAATAATTATACCCAATTGTTTATTTAACCTTTTTTATCGCAACTATAACTTATAGGTCCGTCAAAAACCCACAAAAACCCCCGAAAAATTCAATGGGGGAAAAATAAAAAAAAAACGTTAATATTAAAACAAGTAAGAAAGTCTAAGTTCGGGCGGAGCCGAACATTAAATA